TGCAGCCACTAAAAATCCAACTTATTGAAATTATGCTACAGTAACAGTCCCAGCTATGCAAGGAAGAGTAAAGATTTTCAGTCAAACTGAAGGTCCAGCTATACCAGATCCTCCAGGAATTACGACTTTCAGTGTTTAAATCTTCCTTGTGTGAGCAAGTCTTCCCTTTTGTTTTAAACTGCAGAATGATTCACTTTATTTATCATTCTGTTCTTTTGTTATGATAAATCCATGTGCCAAAGCCTGCTCCGATTTCTTAACTCAGCAAGAGCTGATAGTATGATTCACTCTCTCCACATCTACCCAGATGACATTACCACTGTTCCAAATATGCACCATCAAACTGCATGTCAACATCCTGTTGACTGGTCTAGAGTGTGAGCAGATGTGCTTTCCAGTGGTGTTGGAAATTAGATTGGAGAGGAGACAGTGGCTCTAAGACATCCTGTGTGCCCTTTGGACATGATGACACTATAGAGTTACAGAGACTCTGCACCACTGTTCAGACTCTGCTGAACTCCTGACCTTCCACATCTTCCCTCTATGGTGTCATTAAATGAACCACAGTTCATGGAAAGCCAAGCGCCAGGCTACAGGAAGATGTAGAGCCTCCTTATATTTCCATTTCACAGAGAGATGGCACATTTGGAGAAGTATTTGCATTGTAGTGACACTGGAGGCTCCCCTGAGTACAGACACAAATGGAAAAGAGTTTGGCCCAAACAAACTAACAGATTAAATGGGAACCTTAAACACAAACAGGCAGACTACATCCTTTATCTGCAAATAATTGTGCAATAAGGTAAAGCAGGGGATATACATGTTTCAGGGATAAGAATATATTCCAAAGGTTCAAGCAGAAGTCAGGGGAGTGGTAAAAATAAAGAGAAATGCTTGGGATGCAAAGTAGGAAGGAGAGTTGATCTCTTATCTCTAGGGTAAACTCTTCTCTTCTGGCCTTGTATGAGGGTCAAGAACTACTTCAGTGTTATGAATGCAGACAGAAAATTCCTCCTGTGTGTTCCAAGGATTCCACAATATTGTTGCACTTAAAGTCACAGGCTGCATAGGCACCACATAAAACATCACAGACCATCCTGGGTAATAAGTCTCTATTGATCCCTTTTGGCATCACAAAGGTTTCATTCTCCATGACTTTACACCAGATCTGAGAGGGTCCACACACCCTATGGCAAATATTCCTTGCCCTTTCAGCACAAAAAGAAATGGGAAACAGAAAGGAAACAAGGTGGGGGGAGAACCCCACACACAAGGTAACAAATAAATAAACTATTATTCCTTACAGAGATGGACAGGAAGATAATCAGTAGAAAACAGTATTTCATGGGATGCCCAGAGCCAAATGCTTTTCTATGAAGAACCTCTCCTTCAACATCCAGCATAGCAGTTAAATCTCTGCTTGTGCTTGACCTGCAAAAAGTCTTCAAAATCTGGGATTCCACCCAACCTCACCCAGCTCAGCAGCCTGGCATGTTTAAGGCAGCCTGAAGTGTGTAGCCAGGAAAGGGGAGGAGGAAGCCAACAGCACCTCTCCTGCCAGCTGGCCAGGTGACCGGGGCACGCAGCCCAGCTGTACACTGAGCCATGGTTCATTGAATGTGCCCACCAGTGCTGCCCATCCTGAACTCACAGCCAGGCACAACTGCTGCTGCATCCTCTCCTCAAATGTCCAAGTGATGGATCCAAGCACCTTCTCTGAAGCTTGCAGGCTGTGCAGGGTGGGCAGTGGAGGACATTATTAATAACTTTCCACTCAGCCCTTTTCAATCTTGCCTTTACAGGAGGAGATTACAGATTTTGCATTATGTTTTGCCATGAAAATCCATCAGAGAGAGGGATTTCTAGTGTGATGTCCTGTTGTTGCAAAGCATAACTTCCTGGAGAGAGCCTCCTTCCTTTGTTTTATTTATTAATTTTCCTCCGAGTGCAGCCTAAACCCTCCCTTCCTGTTGGGAACAACAGCTGCAGCATGCAGCATCAGCTTGCCAAGCCTGGATGACTGTGAAATGTCATTTATCTTGGAGCAAGATAGCATCAAAGAGAACAACTGTGTGGGCCTGACCATGCATTCACTACATAGCTGTGCTTAGGAGGAGCAGGATAAATTGCAGTATTGGAGGCAAAAGAGGTCCCACTTCTGAGCTAACACTCTTGGACCTGAAAGTGCTGTCAAATCTGAAAGCACCACTGAGAAAAAAAGGGAATTTTCATTTCCTTATTCAGAAAAAGACTCTTTCAAAGGCTGGAGATGCAAAAGTATTCACCAGGGCAGGAAAGCAATACTTCTTCTGTAGGTTAATGGGAACACTACGGCCTCAAGATCAAGTAATTGGCTGATGAAAACCACAGAGCTGACACAGATCTCCTAACATACCTGTGTTATCCCACAGACCTGGTGAATCCTGTATGAATGCCACAATCCTTAGATAAAAATTACTTTCAGATACTCTTCTGTTATCTTCTCCTTTTAACCCTTTAGGGGAGCTTTCATTTTTTTTGCCAGAAGCAACTGCTATTTAAAGATTAGGAGAGAATTCAGTCAAATTGAAAATTAATCACACATTTTTCCCACCAGCACTCTACTCCTATCTTTTGCTCTGGGTTCCTTTGTTCCTCCTGTCCCACGTGATCAGCTGGCTGAGAGCACTGAGATGCTTTTTGTTCAGTGCCCAGTCTCAAGGCTCCCCTGGAAGCATGCTGGGCTGCACGGTGCTTCCCTTGACAACATCACATATTTCCCATTAATGACGAGTGGAAAAGGTCAGGCAGGTCTCTGTAATGGCCTTTTTGAGAGCAAACAGCCTTGGGAAATGGCTCTCTGATTTCTGGGAACTCCAGTCTATTCAATAAGCAAAGACAGAAGTCCCAAGAAAAGTGACGATAACAACATCTTAAAGGGGACTTTCCCATGTGAGTTTGGATCTGCCAGAATCCTCCTACATGACTTGGGTATAACTCTTCCAGTGATTTTGGTGGGAGGAGAGCAGCATTAATGAGAACACAGACAGATGCAGAAGTGTTGCACAGATGCAGAGGGGTTGAGCACCAGGATCTAACAGTGCATGCCATTTTGAGTAGTTTGCCACAAAATTCCTGAGACAGTCCAGACCACTGGCTGTAACATAAAGCCATCATGACCATCATCCTTCACATCATCATCAGCAGTTAGGGAATCTTTTCTCAATAGAAGATCTGAAATTCCTTAGGGATCACACAATCACAGAATCATACAATGGTTTGGATTAGATCACCTAGTTACAACCCTCCTGATATCTTACACTAGACCAGGTTGCTCCAAGGCCACTCAACTTGTCCTTGATCATGATGAAAGATTTAAATGTAAAAACTTCACATGACAAAATTCTCATGCCTCAGATCAGAAAGCCCCTATTTTACCTGTGCATTTTGTATTTCTTACACAGAAGAAGCAGTAATCAAAAACATACCCATCAGTATTTTCATGGAGAATCTATCAAGTGTAAATGAATGTCACGCTGTGGAGCTGAAGCCAGTGCAGCAACGTCAGGAGTTTTTCCTATTATTTCCCTGTCTTTGTTTTGTGCCTTGCTTTGCTCTATCACTAAATGTTCCAGAAATCTCTACCACAAGCCCAGAGAGTGGAAATGCTGACTCAAGTCATTTACTGCATCCGTGTGCACAAACAAGCTGTTAGTTGCTGTTGGCATGTAAATAAGTCACTGTTCTTTCCATCCTATAGCTGTTATATAAACACTTTGAGCCAAGTTCACGACTGGTTTCTTTTAGGAGGTCACTGAGATGATTTTGCAGAAATATCCTGTGACAATTTTGCAAAACAGAATGGTCCCAGCCTGAATTTCATTACTCTGTTTTTTTCCACTTCCATCCTGGTGGTGACTGTGTTTCTGCTGTCACAGGCAGGCTGTTAATTCATCCTGACTCCATAAAAGACACCAGGAAAATGGAAACTTTGCCCCCTCTCCTTAGTGTTTAAGGCATATGCATGAAAAATTGCTTGCATTCTGGTATAACCTAGAAGTCCTAGTCCATGTCAGCTACAGACAGGCTGTGTATGCACACTTACACTGACTACATGCCACTGACTGCAGCACAGCTTGCAGCCAGCCAAACAGATAGCTTTAAATGGCAGCTATATAAACAAGGCAGCTGGCACCCTAGTCCAGGCTGAAAAACTCACAGTGGAGTATGCAAATTAACCTCCGCAGCCCAATAAATGCATCTTATTTACAAATAACACCTGCCTGTACATTAAAATAAAAATACCAAGACTAGGGAGAAACCAGGTGTCTCATCTTTATTCTACCAATGGCAAACTGGAGCAGAAATTAAATATTTTGCCAAAGGTGCTATAGGAAGCCTGTGTCAGAGCCATGACTGGAGTCACTTGTGCTTCAGCCTGTGCTGTAGCCACAGGTTCCTGCTTGTTTTGAGCACAGTATAAATTCATGGTACATGCTCATATAGCTACTTGGACCCAGTAAATGCCATCCTCAATTTTCACCTGTTAAAAGGGCAGAATCAGTCAGACTGTGAGGGTTAAGAGGGATGATGAGCAACAAAAATTTAAAGTCCTACTTTCAATCTTATCCACTAATGGTAGACATTTTAGGAAAAGGAGTCAGCAGCAAGTTTTGCACTTAAAAGAAATAACATCAACAGCACTGGATAGGGGTTTGGGAAGTGGATTTAATAGGTATGTCTAGATTTGGCTAAGAATGAAAAGAGCATTTTCTTTCCACTGGTTGCTGGCTAATAAAAGCAGAGGGGTGGAATACATCCAACTTGCAAAACTTGAATACAGTTACTGCTATCTGCAAATGGGTGCCCCTCCCCGCTCATGTGAGCTACACAGGCAAAAGAGAATGACACATGTGCTGTTTCCTTTTCCAGTTGCAAAGGGGTCAGGAGCCAGGCAAGGAGAGCCCGAACAAGAGGAGCATTTTCCTGGGTTCTTCCAGCTGTTCTGTTCAATCCCGCCGTCAGTTCTGAGCAGGGAAGAGAGGCTGTCAACACAAATAAGGCATTTTTCAAAGGCGTAAATTATGAGTTCCCCAAACAATGCGACATCTCAACCACGTGAGTACCCTTACCCCCCTCCCCCCTTACTATAAGAGTGGATTTATCAGCCTGCTGCTTAAAGAACAGATTGCCTAATGCATTTCATATGGGGTAAAAAAAAAAAAAATAAGGAATGCCTGAGACTAATCCTGAAGGAAAAAGTTGTGAAGAAGCTGTTTTCTTTCTTAATTCTTTGTGTTTGTGTGCGCGCGTGTGTGAGGGAAGGACTGGAACAGGCTCTGCAAACTCTGGCTCCTGAACAGGACCCAGCAAAGTTAGCAACGTTTCCGCCTAAACCCCAGCTTAGAAAAGTTTCATTTGAATGTTTTTCCCTCCCCCCGCCTTCAGGAATGAAGTTATAGAGCATTTTGAAAGCGTGCTGACGCTTTTCTAAGATAGTAATGGTGCTGCCCAGCCTGCGTTTGGAGTCTCAAGCTGTCTGTGTGTAACATGAGACCCAAGCCACAAACTGACAGTCTATATTTAAAGCCACAATGTGTTTCTGCTTCTGGAAATTTAGAAACATGGGCTTAGGGACAAGCAAATTGGTTTTTCAGCAAGAGAGGGTACAGGACGGCAAGTCCTGTGTTTGTGTAACTCTGCATATTTTAGTAAATTTTAAAAGAGAGGATTTGGCCCGAACAGTCAAGGCAGCACAGAGGCTCTGCTGCACTATGGTAGTGTTCATTTTGGGACAGTATCAAAAAGAAAGGTGAAGGAAGGGATGGACTATGATTTGATAAGCTGTGAAAAACTCTTGAGTTTTTGGTGCTGCAATTTTTTTTCCCTTATGGTTGTAGTATGATCTTTCTTGTTTTAATTCAAGAAAGTACGTTTGTTTTATTTTTAATAAATAAACTGCCGATAGCAGAATTGTTTATCATACCATGGCATCAATAACGAAGGCAGAAAGCACAGACAGCTCTGCTGGGATCAGCCTGCAATTCAGGGTTTGATCCAGATACTGCTGTAAGGATATTTGTTCTGTATGGCTGTAGACACTGACAGTGTTTCCCAAGCTTTGAATGAGGCAGGCTGATCCAGCAGAAAAGACACAGCAAGCAGAATCTCTGGAATCCCAACCAGCAATTTCTAGTTACCCTTTAGTCCTTTTTGCAGATTCTAACCAACAAGAAATATTAGATGTTACCTTTATATTTTATTCTACTTCATTCTGCAGTTTAGAATATTACAGCTTGTTTTCTATTGCAGTTTGTTTTCTGTTATAGCTAGGAAAGATACAGGCAGGCTAATTCAGCATTCTGAGAGCTGGGGTTTGGCACAGCTCGTGTAAATTACTGCTATTGGTGCTCTCCAAGCATGTCCAGGAGGGTGGTCATGACTCACCGAGGTTCTTCTTGTGTATTGTGAAATATCAGCAAGGGTCCAGATGCAATGTTGTATTTTAGTGACAGGCTTGGCCAAGTGACACATCCAGGACCTGCTCCACAGTTCTGAATACATTACAAACAGCCTCTCTGGCAGACCCAGGTTCAGACCCCACAGAAGGCCCTGGGGGACACCGGATGAGGAGTCCCTGCCCCCTGGGGCCTTTTGTCTGCTCATAATGAAAAAACACAGATGCATCAGGTTCTCCTGGGTTTTTTCCAAAATGTGGACAGGAATTCTCAACTTGAACTATTTTAAGATCATACGATTCCCTCTCCATGAAAATAAATTGCTTGCAATCCAGCTAGGAGTATTCTGGCTGAAAAATAGTCATAATGTATTGTCTTTGATTGGGTGTTTTGGTTTTGTTTTGTTGTTTTGGTTTTGTTTTCTTTAATTATATGGATAAAATTTATAGATTAGGAACAAAAGTTAAAGGGAAGTCTGATAGTACCATATTTCTGTATAATGCATGTTTGGTGCATTGATAACAGTTGAAGTTTTGGGGGAAGGTCTTTTGGAAAAGGGTCTTATTTCCTAGTGAAATTCCTGCTAATTTTGCAAGAAACAAGACAAACAATTGAAAGTTCAGTGTATTGACAGGCACTGCGCAGCATGGACAGCAGATGTTTGCCAGAGAAGCAGAATAATTGGGAAAACAAATCTGCTTCATAGCCACAGTGAAAATCTTTGAGATGGGTGTGAAAATGCATAAAATAATAATCAAAAACTTTTTGATACATATTCTGAACATATGAATTCTTCGCTGAATACCTGCAGGTGAGACCACAGAGCAGCTGCCAAGTGACGAAAACTGAACAGTGTTAAGTTACCTAATTGCTCATGTTCTTTGCTCATCTCCTTGTGTTCACCCATGGCTGATAAGGAATTTTATTCATGCTATAAATGCATATGATCCTGTCAATCCAGGGGGGAGCATGCACTGTTTCAGATTTTAAATATTCAGCTCTGTGGGGTCTGTAAATGTATTCTGCCCCTATATGGGGATGCCCCACATCTCACCTTGGGCACTTCCCATGCCCAGCTCAAATATCCCCCAGATATCTGAGTGGGCTCTGTACCCATACCAGAGGTGAGGGAGACAGTAACTCTGTGATGCATTTGCTTCCTGCTCATATGTACAGGCAGTAGCTGCCTGACTAAACTATGAAACCTGAGGAACTCCACAGGTTTGGCAGTTTCAGTTCAGCTGGCAGCTTTTGCCCTTTTCCTGTTAGACTGCAGTGACCCTATTTTGAGGCAGTGGGACAGCTCAGATGAGGTGAAGGATTAGGACAATAAACGTCACCAAGTCAAAGGTTCAACCTGGGCAGGCAGTGATCTGTGCAAAGCCATCTTTATGGGTCAGAGGTGTTCACCCCTTTGGAGAAGGTGTTCTGCAATTTACAGGATTTCGTCTGTACCCAGCAGGCTGGGAATGTTTGTCTGGGCTCTCTTATATTCCAAATGCCAGCTGTCAAAGGAGATAGTGGTTTAGGAGAACAGTTTGTGGAGGCTTTTCTTCCTCATCACCCATCAACAGATAAGTTCCTCTTCCTGGGGGGATAGGAAGCAGTGTGATGCGTGCACTGCAGAAGAATTGGCCCAAAAGGAAACCAAGAAGCAAGGCTGGTCTTCAGGCCATGCCCCAGCAGCAGAGGGAGGAAGAAGGTGAGGAAGAGCGTGAAGCAAAGTCTCCTTGAGCTGTATGCACTCCCTCTGCATTGCCAGCTGTCCTCCAGCAGTAACCCAGGCACTGCCCTGCTCAGGGGAGCAGAGTCTGGTGCTGCCTCTGTTCCACAAGCAGGAGGTCTTGGCTCCATCAGCCCAAGCTTCTCCACCTGCCCCAATGACAGTCAGAGCTTCTGGCAAAGTGAGTCGTGTATGTATCTGTCCCCTCAGAGAGGCTGAGACCTTGCAAAGGTGGCCTCAGATAAAGGCAGAGAGACTTCATGATGTGAATGGGGAGTGTGGTTCTGAGAACAGCCTTGCCACATCTTCAGCCTATAATGAGATCTATTTTGGGGCTGCAAACTGGTTCTTTTGTATGTTCCTGGAGCAATACCTCTTGCCTTTCACACAGGGCTTGTGAAAAGCCTTGAATGAACCCTTCAGGTTTTTAATTGTGTTATTCACACCTTGGCAATATATGTGATTTCATTGCCCTTAATCAACAGAAGTGCTTGCCTGTGACAGTAAGTGATAAACAAAAACAGAGGCTATTGATTATGAAAATCTGGTCTTCACTGGTAAACCTCTGAGCATTTATACACAAGGAAACCTACAGATTATAGTAACCTCTCATTTTTAGCACAGAAATCTCAAAACATATCCGACCAGCACTGATGTAAATTGAATGCCTCTGCTTGTATGTTTGTTTCCCACCACTGTGCATATGAATTGTAAAATTTGGCTTTATACCCTAGGGCTCTCCTGACACCCTCATTGTGTGACATATTTATGTGAAAGTCTGGGAATTGAAAGGCTCAGAATGCACCTAAAATTTCAGTACTTAACAGCAGAAATGTTGGCAAACCGCTGAGCTGGAGAGAATAGGGAAGATGTTGACCCAAATAGGAGTCTGCTGGTTTAAAATACACAACTTCAGCATTGCTGGGCATAATTAAAAAAAAAAAAACCACAGTAGATGTTAAAGTAGATGTTAAAGATTCAGGTTGTGGCTAGTTGTGTGCTTAAGCCTGTTAATATTATAGAATTATGCAGTGTCTGCATCTCATTGCTGCTACTGCTGCACCTTTCTTTCTGGGCTCTTGTGTAATATACCCTGTATGCATAGCTGTTCAAATGACTGAGTCCAATCAGCAAAGTCTTTTGTAAAACAGGCTTTCAGAACTGCATTGTCTAATGAAAGTCTGTTTGTGTGTGTGCTCTGTGCAGTGCCTGCCTCTATTGTTGGGGAGGGATCAGTATTCCTATAGCGTAGAGAAATCCAAGCCAGCAGAGGGATCTGGTTGTGCTAGGTGCTGTACAGGCACCTCTTCTTCAAAAGGCTGGTGAAGAGGAGAGATTACAGGTGGGAGAGAAATGACTGCTCTCCATGGACCCTGCTGGTGAGGCAGCTTTTAGCTGGGAAGAGCTGGGGAGGAAGGAGTTGGTTTGGGTCCAGCAGAATCACTGGTGCAACAGCTCTTTGCTTCCCACTGCTTAATTCTGTAATGCATGCTCAGGAAAAAAAAACATAGCTCACAAGTTATTTAGCAATTGGCCTGCTTGTTTCCCACAGAAAGATCAAAAAACTTCCAAAACAGCATTTGACATGAGTAGGAAGTTTGTTTACAATTTTTTGCTTCACATACAAGTTGTGGTAGAAAATGCATGAAAAACCCAAATGTGACAAGAATATAGAAACACCATAGGAGGGCAAGTATTCGGGCAGCGGACAATTGTGTTTTACTTCCTTAATTTTCTAAGTCAGATGAATTTGACAGCATTACCCCAATAATGAGTAGATGAAAAATTCACCAGTTGCTAAGCATTCTGATAAACTACTTGGAGAATGGAGAAAAGTGTCACTTGGAGAAATCAGGCCTTGTTTGCCAATAATTTGTGAACACAAATGGAGGAAAAACCTCTCTTCTCTGGGTAATTTATTTGTAACTGATAACTGC